TCTCTTTGCCTCGTGTTTGGAGACAGTTGATAATTTACTGTACTGTAAAAAATTACAACAGCCAGATTTCACTTCGATTGCTATGCACCCTGATCTTTCTGTACTGTAAATGTTTCTATACCCAGCACTCATTCTGATGTCTAACTTTAGATGAATGTCACTAATAATTTTACATCCACTTGTATAAAAAATAAAACTTTTGTATAAAAATATGAAATAGTTTGCTATTAATATTATTACATTTGCTAATACTACCAAAATGCCCTCTGTGGAGGAGGCAGAAGACCAACTACAATGGCAGAGGTTACTGGGGTAGTTAAGAAGCTCCGTGGTGCCAAGTTGCCAGGCTAGGATGAGATTCCAAAATCCTGAGATGATAAAGGTTCTGGCCATTGTATGGCTGTCTTGGCTGACACTTGGTTGACGTGGAGGTCTAAGACAATGCCTGTGGAGTGGAGTGATGGTTGCCATTTACCAAAAAGTGGGTGTGCTTAAATTTTCAGGGTATCAAGATCTTGAAAAAGATTCTCCGGCTGACTGTCAAACCTCGGTCCAGATCTTCAGGAAAAGCACTGCCAGTTCTGTCCAAACAGTGGGCCAGGTCATCACCCTTACAGGACTTTTGGCTGGATCGTATGAGTTTGACCCTCCCTTCAATCATGTGTTTTGTGGATTTGGAGAAAGTTTACTGGGGTGAACTGTGGGAGTATGGAGTGTGTCTGTTGTTACAGGCCACGGGGTCTATGTATAATCAAAGTCAGAGCTGTCCACATTTCTGGCACAAAATCAGACATGTTTTCAGTGGATGTTGGGCTCCACCAGGGTTGAACTTTATCTCTAATCCTATTTGTCATATTCATTGACAGTTGAGGTGGTTCAGGTATTAAGTTAAGATGTTTTATGGGCTGCTCCCTATGAAGGTTTTCCAACCATGCCAGACTGGGAAGAGATCTCAGGGTAGGCCCAGAACATCTTACACTGTTGGAAAGCCTCGTTGCTTTTCTCAAATGGTGCCAAATTTGATGCATTTGTCAGTTCAGAGTTGAGGATGTGGGTTGCATCAATGAAAGACAAATCCTCTCTGTCAAGGCATGCTTGGACAACTGACCGCTATAGCTGGGTCAATGCTTACAGGTGGGCACCAGATGCTCAAAACAAGATTCAATAGCAGTATAAGCTGATTGGCTAATTATTTCCTTTTAAATTCCAAAAAACATTTTGTTTGATAACATTAAACTGAATCTGCCATATTACCTGACATGGTATGACAAAGAAACATCTAAATATTAGGCTAAAAGAACATGTCAGTCACTTTAACTACAGAATGTGTCTGAAGGTCAAGTGTTTATGATAGATTCTCAAAGAAATGTAATCTGTTGATTCTCAGGAACATTGCCCTCCTGTTGGTGACTCTTTCAGACTCCGTTGCAGAGTACACGCAGTACCAAAAACACAGACATATTTATTTAAACATGGGGCCCAGCTGTTTTGAAAAAGAAAGCAGGGTATTGTACTTCTACACAAATATTCATTATGAATCCAGGTCACAGGAGTGCCCTTTAGCCTACTTCCAGTCCTGAGTGGCTTTTTGTTTTGGTTGTTTTTTTTTTTCTTTTTTTGTTTTTCAAAACAACTTCTGTCCTGTGACTGGATATCAGTCTTCATTTCCCAGTGATAAACACACATTTATCATGAGGCAACATTTCTTTAACTGGTTATAAGAATGTTTTAAGTTTTAAGGGTGCTTTCAGACATGAGCACCTCTCTGTGGTTTGTGTGTTTTGACATTTTCAAAAACCCGGTTGCCTATTTAATGCTTGATGTAATCAGTAGTGTTTGGTGATTGTGGCCAGCATGGTTCTGTTGAAGTCTTTCGCCCCAGTTTTTATAGAGTTGACAATGAATTGATAAAGAAAGGAGAGGCACAGTTTTCTGCACTTTCAGCAAATATTAATTGATATAATTCAACACTTTAAGAAATATTTAGCTGATTTTGGACTCCACATTTATGCATGTGTGTGTGTCAATGACTGTAGAAAACAGTGTGTGTGTTTGTGTGTGAGTAATAAACTGAAAAGGCTCTTATTTCCCCTTCTGAATATCGTAATGCCAAAAAGATTTTCAGAGCCGAAGGTTACACTTTGATTTCTATCAATAACTGATGTTGCGTGCTGTCGCTTTATCCCTGCTTGAGCTCCACAAAAGTTGGTATGTGCTCTGGAACTCCCTCCTTCCTGCTCTAATGTCTAAAAGTCTGACTCTCCTTCTACCATTATAAGTAAAATCCTTTCTTCATCAGTCAGCCCTCTGCTTCCAAAAGTATGCGCATAGGTTGAAAACAGAAGTTAGTAAGTCTTGGTGTTAACTACAAACAGTGTTGGGGAGTAATAGAATGCATGTACCGGTGTTCGAAGTCGCAAAGGAATGACGTCACAAGAAGGTGATTGGTCACTTGCAATGTTGAATCTGGAACAACATTAATTATGATGATGTGGGAACAACGCTGACACGAGGAAATCAGATCGTCCATTCTGCTACAGTTACCATTTAAAAAGGTGATAATTAGAATACAGTTACTCTGTTGAAATAAACTGATTACACGGCGGCCTTTTCCTGTTTCATATGTTTGGCTATTCCTTCAATCCAAACAAAACACGCAATAAGAGGCTCTAATGTAAGCGTCCTGTTAATGTTGGTGGCGTTAGTTACACAATGGACCCGAAGCCAGGACAACAGAGCCAGCAGTGCATGGGCAGGAATTTATTTCTTACTTGGAAATTCCGACATCACTTCACATTTAAAGAAGAAAGGGATGGGCGAGAGCTGACCATGCAATGCAAACTCTGTTTGCCTGCAACCAAGCTGCTCTCAGCATCAAAAGACTCCACCTCCAACCTAAAGAAATATCTTATTTTTAAAAAACTAACATTAGCCTAAGCCTACTGCAACTACCTTGTTTTAGTTGTGCTAGCTACCTGGGAGATGTGCCACTAAAGTATCTTGGATTTACTATTGCTGTGTGATTTATTACTATTACTGAAGGCTATTCGCCACCGCCAATTCTTTTGTCCTCCACTTGTCCAGGTTCTACAATTTTTTTTCAAGGACACCCTTCACACCATGCCAATATATATCCCGTTTTCAGCTAACAGCCATTTGGGAATCATCTCGTTGGTGCAAAACTGCTATTTTATGACTGTCAGCTGTTGTCATGTCTGGCATTTTTCACAGATTCAACTAAAGAAATGGTGACATGTTATATATTTTTGGACAGGCAAACAGAGAAGAAATTTAAGGGACAGGAGAGATTTTCTTATGTAGAATTATCATGTATCAAAAGTAATTTGTTTCATATAACAGTCATCAAATTACAAAGAATTTTGTTTTTCAGGAAAGGAGCATATAATACCAGTCAGTGCTGAGGTGGGTGCAAGGACACTCAAATGAAAAGCCATCCAGTGACGTTAGTAGTCAGCAGGGGTCATTCATTTGAGCTGGAATTTGCGCTGAACAAAAGCAAGACTGACCCCAACGAACCAGCCAGTCAGAAAGCTGTCCAAAGTCATCTTCTGGTTGGCTAGACTGCCAGAATTTACTCTACCCAATTTGGGAAAAACCTTCATGTTGCTGTAATAATGCCATAGAAGATTTTATACAGGTTTTTATATGACATATAAATTGCCTTTTCCACCCCTTTCTCTACAGTTTCTTTTCTCCGTGTGTACCTTTTCCTGTTATCCAACTGTTTCTACTGCTAAGAACTTTGGTTCCCAAACTGAACCCCTGGCTCAGCCCTCCTCAGTGGTCACATGACACAGATTCTTGTAAAGTACAAAGCCCACATCTCACTGTGCATTCATACTCTATAGACAGTATATCAGAAGGAGACTGCGCTGTTACACGTCTGAGCGACCTTCATTATAACTGACTCTGCTTCCCACAAGCAGGTAGGTGTTCCCTTTGTAATTCAGAATGATAAACAGGTATAAAGTGATTAATGGAAAGCACTTTCTGTCTTTAGTTTTTAGTGTATTTGATTTATGTGAAAGGTTAGTAGATGAAGAGATTATTGTTACTAATAATCTGCATTTTAGAAATACAGGAAAAATTCTTTCATTTTTAATAAACAAATAAGGCTTTTCAGCATAGCAGCTTTCCCACAAAGTTGCGTCTGCAGCTGCTAATCTAAGACTTGCTGATAGTTCTTTGGAGTTCATATAATCCCTGACATAACTGTATTTAAATTAGATGTTAAAGATGTGGATGATTTCATTTTCCTTACGTTGATTTTTTTTTGTGTCAGGTGTATGTGTTACATAGGCTGTAGCTCCAACCTACTCCCTTTTGATTTGTCATTTAATTTATTTATGTATTTTTTTTTCCATTTAATTTTGTGTAAAATAAATGAACCAAATAAAGACAATGATAAAGATAGTGATATTAATATTGCAATGCAGTACTGGAACACTACTTCATTTGGCCCGTTCCTATTTTAGCAGTCTTTCCATATATTCAAATTATATATGCCAAGAGTGAAGGTTTTGGCTGCTAAAGTGCCATGTCATGCTGAACTTGACAAACTGGTCTGCTTAGATGAATCACTGCATCTACACCATCTATGACTGTGAAACAGTCATCCATAATCCATAGTCATACAGTGAAAGCATTAGAAATTAGAGAGCAGAAGAATGAAGCCCCAGCTGCATGGAGTTAACTGTATACTATAAACTATAACTCTACTGACTGTGAATCCAAAGGCAGCCGTAACCTTCCTACTCACTCTGCTGCCTGTGTGTTTAAAGGAGGGGAGACCATAAAGTCCCAAGCTGGTTGGAGGAGGAAACAGGAAAGGGAGGAGTTCTTATTGACACCTCCCCCTCCACCGGCTCTCTTTTCCTAAGCTCCCTGAAACACAGAGCGAGCACATGGCTGCCTGGTTTTGAAACCGACCTCACTCATGGTGGTAGAGGACATGTGCGCCTGTGCAGTCCCTCCCCTGGCAAGTGCAGAGGAAAACGGAAGCAGAATGCAAGCCTGTATGTGTGTGTAGAGAGGTTAGAAAAGGGGAGGGCATAAAAACACACACACACATTTGCGGCAGATGTAACAAAAAAAAAGGTCGAATCAGCCAAGAGTGAAGGTTTTTGGAAGGAGAGAAGCCAGGGGAGAGTGGTTTCTTGTTCCTTGTTCTGAAACAGGTAGGATGATTGATTTTGTGTACTTACAGCAGCATAGAAATGATGTATGACGGAAGTAAGGGTGATTGAATTGCCTGGTTATCTTAGATCCTAAAGCCTCAAGTTTTTCAGTCCATCTGTTCTGTGCTGTAGTCCATCTGCTTCCCTCCAGCATTAAAAGGTAACAGAAATGAAAAAATGCATATAAAATGGTTACAAAAGGCACCAGATAATTAAGTTTAGATTGCAGATCAAGATTAGGAAGATCAGGAAGTTATATCAAGGTAACCTGACGTAACAGCCAGAGATTCTTACTCGTTCCTGATTCACATGACATATAATCGTGTGTATTTTAGAAGTTTGACACAATATATTGCGTTTGTGCTATATAGCCAACCCTAAACGTAAAACATGCTTATATCTTTAATTGATTGGCACTAATTGTTCATAGTCATTATCAAGACTTACATTATTTTTAAAGTTACTTAACAATGATTTCTTTTTGATAAATATGTTTATGTCAGAACCACATGGTGTTTTTATGGGAGCACCGTGTCAGTGTGCGAAAGGTCAGGCATCCATTTCTAGACTGCACATGTGAGAAGGATGGAAGAAGCTTAGAAAGACAAATGCTGTGAAGGTCAATGGCTCCTACTTGAAACAGTGACTTTAAAAAAGTGTAATCAAATGGCAAATTAAGCTGTAATGATGCATGATTTCATTTAAGTGGGTGAACAGGATAGTAACACAGTATATGACGGCATATTGAAATCCCCAAAAAACAGGGATTCCAGATTAGGGGTTAGTGATTAGAACCTCCATGGGCTTGCCAAGTAGAAGTCAGAATCAGAATCAGAATACTTTATTCATCCCGAGGGAAATTAGGGGTTACAGCAGGCAGCACGCTAATGGCGCATGCGCACTCACAAAGGAACCTTCTGACCAACTTTACACAAACATCACATTGGGCAGACATGTCAGAAGGTAGGCTGATAGGAAAAAAACAACGAAAATACACTACATGAGGTAAGAGGAGGAGAAAAAAAAACTCCACTCAGACTGAGCTCCTAGTGGGAGAACAGTTTGATAAAAGAAAAAACACCTCAGCACAAAAGCACATGACTATCAATACACCATAGAAACACGAGACAAGCAACAGGGCGGGTAAAGGGTAAGAGAGAGCCGGCGTAGACAGAAGTAGAGTAAGTAAAGTTTATTTATATAGTGCTGTTCAAGAAAAAAGATCACAAGACACTTTACAATATAAAATAAGATACAATGACTAAAATGTTAGTAATATATAAAGATAAATAAGACCAAGCCTACACAGTGCGTCTCAAACATTTTAAGGGTATCATCCATGTACAAAGATCTTGGGCCAGATTTACTAAATGGGCAAAAACAGGGTGTAAGCGCAATCCCAAATAGTGCTTATAGGTGTGTTTAGTTTTACAGATGATTTAGAAAAGAGGCGCATTTCTTAAACAAAGGAATTGTCAGCTCATTTCAATATCAAACCAAATGCAACAGGATGAGTTGCAGAAATATCAGCTTCCACTTCTTGCATGCAATTTTGTCACTGCTTTATGTTTGTACTTTTTTTTCTTTTTGCCACATTTGCAACACATCTCAACACCTTAATAACTCTGGTCCCTTTAGTCCAAAGGAACCAAGCTCTATAACTTGGGAACCACAAACAGTTTCCTTTTGTCTTGAACTTAGACCTGGATACCAACAACAACCATTGAACAGCTGAACTCAGAGACCTGGTAGTTATGTATGGGTATAGTCGTTCACTAACACAGAGAGGCATCTGATCATGAAAAACTCTCACAACCAAAATCACAATAATCGAGGCGTGATTAAATACAGGCATGTAAATTCAATTCCATTTCAGATATTTAAGATGGGCAATGTTCTGCAGATGATAAAAACAAGTTTGTACAAGACAACCAACCTGCTAATCATAACTGAATGTCCGATGAAGTTACACCCAGATTTCTTACAGTTGGGCGAACTGACGATGAAGTGGATCCAAGATTGTCAGATAACATGAGAACATAGCTGTCAGGGAGATAGAGAAGTGTTCTCTTTGGTATTCTCTTTGCCCACAGCCCTTCCAATTTTTTTGCTTACAAGCAGACAGTTTGACCAAGATGTCATAAAAGATTCTTCTAACATGTGACCCTTATTACAGCAAAATTGCAGAGTATTAAGGCCTTGCCAGGAAAATTTTTTTTTTTTAAAATCAATTTGAAATCTTTTGGATTTGAAATGGGAAGTCCATGCACAAAAACTCTTGAACGCATTGCTACTGAAGCAATAAAGAGAAATATAAAGCTTTATCAACCTGGTTGGATATCAGAGACCTAGAGGATATCAGAGGCTGGTTGAAAATAATTCACAAGATTCTCAAGGTTATTTCTGCTTAAGGGGACAGTATTAACTTATGACACCAATGTTCTATGTGCTGTTTCCATAGAAGAACTCATCTATTAACTTTTGTGTCGAAACAATGAAATAAAGATGATGAAAAAGCTCATTGTCCTTTTGCTGTTGTTTAGTTATGCCACCTTATCTGAAGGCTTTGTTTCAGAGAGAATTTTTTTTTACTTGTTTCGAAATCTATCAGAAAAAGACTTCCATGGAGTATTATTTCTTTTCATATACTATTTGGCTCAGGAATTGATATATTGGTATGAAATATAGTGCACAAATTCATGTTCCCTACAAGATAACTTTAGAAACTGTTCAAAAGTAAATGTTACCCTAAATCACGATGAACATGACTAACATCATACATGCTGAACATCAGTGACAACCTTTGCTCAAAGCTCCACTGTAATCAACCTCTACCGATGAAGCCTCTTAAACTAATTGCAGTTAAAAAAGATACACTCTACAACTCACTTCATTGAAGCTCATTTGTACATAAATGCAATAAAGCAATAATCCATCAAATGCATGCAAAATACACATAAACATTTCTTTGCCTGAAGGTTTAATGACTGTTCTTTTAAATGCCACTAATCAGTCGCGCTTATGCTGTGTCTCTATGTTTCAGATTCTGTAGGTCTTCATTTGCTCACTTCTGCTTGCATCATGTCGCTGCTGACTCACGTGCTGGCATGTCTGTTTGGAATGGGCTCCTGGGTGGCCATCAATGGGATGTGGGTGGAGCTCCCCTTGATCGTAAATGATATCCCAGAGCACTGGTTGCTGCCCTCCTACCTCACAGTCCTCATCCAAATGGCCAACATAGGCCCTCTCTTCATCACGCTGATGCACCGCTTCCGCCCAGGGGTGCTCGATGAGCGGCCGGTCATCTACGGCATTGTAGGATTGGGCATCGTTGCTACATTCCTTCTGGCTTTCCTTTGGAAGCATACAGTGACCTTCGGAAACTCTGTGCATAGTGTTCCACTGCTGACATTGAGTTTCCTGCTATCTGTGGTGGACTGCACCTCATCTGTTACCTTTCTTCCTTTCATGATGCGGCTGCGTCCACAATATCTCACAACGTATTTTGCAGGTGAGGGCCTCAGTGGTCTCGTGCCTGCAGTGGTGGCACTTATTCAAGGCGTTGGTGTAGTTCACTGTGAAAATGCCACTTTATCTAATAATTCCAACATAACTGACAATGGAATGCTACAGGCCATCTACCAGCCTGCTAAATTCTCTGCACAGGTCTTCTTCATATTCCTTAGTGTAATGATGGTCGTGTGTCTGGTCGCTTTCCTCCTACTCAATCACCACCCAGCTGTGGCTCGTGAGAGAAAAAGCGAACGGTACTTCAGTGGGGAACTTGATCGTGAGAAGAAAGAACAAGGCCTATCTCTGAATGCCCAGACACCAGAGCAAAAGCCCATGATCAGCCCCTCGGAGGCTGGCAAGAGGGAACCTAGGAGTTCTTTCGGGAGGGGGACATATAGTATCTTTGAGGTGGTCTTTATCTTTGTAGTGTTGGCTTGGGTCAATGCTCTGACCAATGCAGTGCTGCCTTCAGTGCAGTCCTACTCATGCATGCCTTACGGGAACAAGGCTTACCATCTAGCTGCCACCATGGGAGCTGTTGCTAACCCTGTGGCTTGCTTCATCGCCATGTTCATACCAATAAGGTGAGCTATAGAAAAACTACAATAATTATAAAATACTAATCAAGACCATAGATCCAAGAAATAAGTTCTAAGTCACCAATAGCTTGTAAATCTTTTCTGTCCAGGTCTCTTGTCTTCATGGGAGTTTTGACCATTTTTGGGACTGGATTTGGAGCCTACATTATGGGCATGGCTGTTCTAAGTCCCTGTCCTTTGCTGGTCCACAGTACCTCTGGAACTGTAGTCATAGTAAGACTCTTTATTTTCTTGCATGTACTTACTGTGTACACAGAATAAAATTTCAGACTTCATGCTCTATCTTGCATCTTATAAAAGCATGAAGCCACCACCCATTTTCAATACTCACTTAGCAATTATGAGATTTCCTGTGATTAAGGTGTGTAGTGTGACTGACAGGTTTTACAATATAATGTTAAGTCAGCTTAGTCTCATCTACTTGATGCTGTCATGGAAGAGCTGTGAAAGTCCATTGAATGAGTCAATGAGTCAAACATTCAAAAAGAGTACATTGTTTTTGTGCACTGGCACAGGCAACTATGCCTCCACTTTGCTGTCAGATGTGCCTTTCCTAATACACTTTTTCGGAGCAAAAGTACTTAATACTAAAATGGTGTTAACTGCTAAAATACTTTTTCAGTCACCAAACTGAATAAGAAACCAAGCGGCTACGCACTGAATGCTACTAAGCTAACCAAGCTCCAACCAGGATATTCTGAGCTCCTACTTATTACTTACAGCAGTAAGAGTAGTAGCAGTAAGAGTAAGTCATTCAATGCACAATTCTAACAAATTCTCTGTTGCAGGTGCTGGCCTGGATACTCTTTGTCCTCACCCTGTCTTATGTCAAAGTCATCATTGGGGTGATCCTGAGGGATGAAGGCCACAGTGCCCTCGTGTGGTGTGGAGCTGTAGTGCAGCTGGGTTCAATGCTTGGTGCTCTAACCATGTTTCCACTTGTTGGTTTCTATCAGTTTTTTAAATCGGGTGATGCTTGCAACACTAAGTGTCCAACATAGATGTAAAATGTGTTTAAGTTCAACTCTGCTGTACAGAATTCTAGCATTAATTGCACTTGTTTTAGTAGAACTGCACTTATTCCAACTTGTAAGAGAGCTGGCAAGTTATAGATGAAAATCCACCACAGTATCACTCCGTGTTTTTTTTAACCTAAGTTCTGTTTGTAAATTTCATATACTTTATCAGTAGTTAATGATGTATGAAGTACACATACACCCAGTGCTTAGAAAAATTTTTGGACCACCTCTCATAAAAACAAGAAAACACAAATAATTTCACAAAGTTTGAATTCACACTTTTATACCCAAATCTGAACGGACAAACTGGACCTTATCTGAGAAGTCAGAATCAAGCACAACATTCAACCACTAAAACAAACTTTTCTGTTCAGTAATACAAGTAAATGAGTATAATTTGTCATCTTAATTTTGAAAAATAATTGAAAGACAAGCTTTATTTTTATTTATTTATTTATTTTTTGTGAAACACAAAATTTGAAAAGTCTACTTGCAAAAATTGATGCAGTCTCTTTAATTCATTAAAGAAACATAAAATAATGATATTGGTAATTACCAGTATTATTAATATAGAGCTGCTGTGGCACAAACCTTACATTGGATGGTGATCTAATAAATTTGTTAAGCACTATATCCATCTATAGTGTCTCAGACTACAAAAAGACCAAACTAAATAGTGTTCTGCCACTGAATATATCAATATAATATACAAAACCTTGTTGGTTCAAAAGGTCAAAGCTATTTTACTTGAAGTTTGAGCATCATGTCAGATGATGATGTTCAACATGTACTTTATTGATTTTGCTTTATAAGAAGTTATGGTACTGTCGCCTTTAAAATGTGCCTCAATTCTATAAAATGACCTGGGCATTTTGGGGGATAGACTACTGTGTTGTTTAAATAAAACTACAATGTGCTTTGTATATGTTACTGAAGTGGAGAAACTGTTGAACAATACCAAATAAAACATTTGTTTAATTACTGTCTAAAAAAATTGCAAAATTGCTTCTTCTTTTTGTAATTCATCCCTACACTGAGCTCTATACATACATTTTATTCATCCTCTGAACTATTTAGCCAAGGGTTGCAGGCAGTAAGAACCCTGGACCAGCCACCAGTCCTTAACAGGACTAAGGCAAGAAAATTAAACATTCAGGCTAATTTGCATCTTAGGCAAATTTTGAGAGGCAAAATAATGTAAAATTAATGAAGTGGACACAGAATATCATATGTATCAATGGATTTTTGATTATGCCACCTACTGTTGCAGCACATCCCACAGGTACTCTATTAGTTTGAGATCTGGTAGCTGTGGAGTACATTTGCATACCTTAAAGTTAATATCATGTTCAAGAAACATTATTGAATTGAATGAGTTCTGGTGCATTATTCTACTGAAAGTGGCCATCAGAGGATGTGATCATAAAGGAATGGACAATCCTGAGCAGCAATACTCAGTTTGTTTAAACGACACTCAACTTGGGCGCCTTAATACCAGCTTTCTTCCAATCCAAGGCCTCAACATTACATCACCACCACCTAAACCACTGGTACAAGGCACAATGGATCCAGGCTTTCATGTTGTTTGATCGAAATTATGACCCCATCCTCCATAATGTGACAGCAGATATCTAAACTCATCAGACCAGCCGATGTTTTTCCAAACTTTGCTTCTCCACTGACTGTTTGACTCAACTGACTGAAGTGTCTCCTGATGTGGGTTTTCTGCTGCTGTTGCCCATATGCTTCAATGTTGTACATGTTGCACATTCAGAGATGCTCTTATAATGATTGGTTAAATAAATTGCTGTCAGTTCTAAGCAGTCTGGCCATTTTCTTGCAGGAAACTGCCAATGACTCTGTAAAGCATAGAGATGGTTGTTCAGGAAAATCCCAGCAGTTTCTAAAATACTCAGACCAATACTCAGACTCAGAAAAGCACATCTGGCACCAGCAACAGATGCCATGTTCAAAGTTTAAATAATTTTTACTAGCTAAAAAACCTCTCAATGGTTTGGCCAAACAATACTTTGCTGAGTTGCTCACCGTTTACAACTGAGTTAGACCCCTCAGTTAATCACGTGCAGATCTTTTAACTGTTCCTAGTTATTGTGGTCCTGTTCTTTGGAACAAGCTGTCTGCAGCCCTGAGATAAATTATATCTATTCATAAATTTACTGTATTTTTCGGACCATAAGGCACACTGTCGATGAATGGGTCTGTTTTCATACATAAGGCGTACAAACTTTTGTTTTATTTTATTATATTTTACTTTTATCACTAACTCAAAGTGTTATAAACCTCCCCTTCTGACTGCACTGAGGCACTGAGCTTCTGCCATGTCATTGGTTTATTAGATACAACATCAACTAGCACTTGAACCTGGTGTAGCAGCTATACCTAATGAAGTGGCCAATGATGTAAAAGACTACATTCATAACAGAAAAGAAAAAAATATCATCAACAGATCGTCGACAGTTGGCAGCACTGATGTACTCCACAGGTCACATGTGTTTAAATGCAGATCAAAGGCATTCAAATCACATGAATTTTGTTTTATGAAATCTAAAAGGTAATGCCTTCACATTGGTCTGCTAAACACTGAAAAATGGCTGGCTTAGAGAAAAAAAAAGACAATATTTTTAGGCCAATTAGCTGCCTATTTATAGTTGTAATTTACCAAAAACTCTTTGATCTGAATCTTACATATCTATGTAATTCACAAAATCACCACTAGATGTCACTTTTTGATTAAAAAAAAATATATCGCCAAGAACTTCTCATAGCTGCAGTCAAGGGTTAACATTTAAATGGCTGTGGTCTGATTTGAGGGTGTGAGCTCTAAAAAGAACTCTCAGTGTCGCTTTATTGAACCTCAGCTGGTGAATGGGGCACTGACGGAAGATCCTCTGTGGTTAAATTGGATAAATTAAGCAAACCTAAATTAGCACTGAGATGTTCAGACATTCACCTGTGCTGAAATACTGATTCTGCCTAGATATTGGGGTTTCCCCCCCAAAAAATATAATTTATACATATATATATATGTATAAATTATATATACATATATAATATATTAAAAAAAAAAAAAAAAATATATATATATATATATATATATATGAATCAACATCAGCAGTATGCATCTCCCCCAGCTTATTAGAGTCAAGGTGCATCATATGCTCGTCACATTAAATCGGGAGAGAATGTCTTATGCATGTAGGTGGATGTGAGAATGTGTGTGCGTGCGTTGTTTTGCGTGTGCATTGCACACGTGTGTTTGTCCTTCCTCTATTCCACATAGACAAACAGGAATGAGGAACTCATGGCCAGTCAGAGGCTGATTCAGATCCCAGTGGCTCTCCGGAGAACATCTGGGGTCATCATCTCCTGCTGTCTCATACTTCACCTGCTCTCCTTATCGCTTCCTGTAGTTTCTGTGACTTATGGCGTGCAGAGTTTAAAAGCTGCACAATGGTTTGGAATCATCTCAACAACAGCTTACTGTCTGAAAACGGAGAAGCATTTTTTGATGCACTCTTTCTGAAACTGTGTAATGATCCAAACGAGCCAAAGAACAATGCATTGAGATTAAGATAAGACTTCAGATCAGAAAGCCTGCTCTATATGACTGTGGGTGGGGTGAGAAGGGGGAAGCATGATTTAGGCAACATAATAAGCAAAAGTGTAAGAGTGCAGCCTTTCTTATCTTCGTCTCTCTCTCTCTCTTTTTCCTTTAAATATTGTGATATCTCCGTTTCCCCCAAGCTCCTTGTCTTCCTCGATTCTTGCATATGGCAGACTTTGTGACAGTAATTTAAATTTAAAACACATGAGGGGAAATCCTAGCCCGCGCTGCTCTTTAATGGGCCGTCATGGGATTGGAGTATGCAGAGAATGATTGAATTTTGTGAGAAGGCCAGGAACGATCAAGTCTCGCCTGACGTTATGCAATCGACCATTCCCCTCTCACAACGCGACGTCTGGTAAAACCTAGCAGGAGGAAAAGGGAGGAGGGGGTTGGATAAGGGTTGGAAACCTCAACGTCTAGACCAAAAAAGAGAAAAACATTTTTTCTTCTAAACGACTCAAGACTTCATAAAAGAGAAACTTGGCTATCATACACACACACACACACACGCACGCACGCACGCACGCACGCACGCACACACACACATGTATATTTATATATATATATGTATAAAGCCAAACAAGATGTGATGGGCCACATCAAAAGCAGAGATGGATTGCTTTCAATGGTTGTAAATGAGTCTTTTTACACTGTAATGCATGACATCCTATATTTCCTGACAGATGGAAACATGTGGATCCCATACAAAGCCTGCCACACTGTTTTATTTATGTGATTGTGTCATGTCTGTTTTCTGCGTTTCTCTCCTCACCTGCTTGGCTCACTTTGACAATGTCAAGGCAGAAATTCAACAGACTCTGAGGCACTGATATTGCTGCACTGTCCAAGCTTTCACACCCTCTGAGTAAGATTAAACCCCTGCTATATATCCTCTCAGTGAAGCAGGAGAGGCTACCTTTCCCGTTAAGTCCATTATATTCAAATAGGCGGGGCCTTTTCTTTCTTTATCTTTTTCTTTTTTCTTCTACGCAAACAAGACAAAGTAATCAAAAGTTAAAAGCAAACACTCAAGGAGGCACTTAGCAAAAAAGAGAAAGCTTTTATGATAAAACATTCATATACAGTGCAGGAGACAGGTAATCTTTGAGGATGATAGGGTTGTCTTGTGGTCAGTTTCTGTATAGTATTGCTTGGGGAGTCTTGTAGATGAATGCTCCTAATAACATCCCTGCCCACCCATCAGCTACCAGAGAATGCAGGCAGAGCAGCTAATACCTGAGTGTATTTCTTCAGGGGTGTGAAGTATGCCTTAAAGAGCTGTTGGAGGCAGCAGTAAAGTAGGGTTCATTACCTTGACAGACTGATGACAGCTACAGTAAGAATGGCTGAGGTGCACGCACACACATATAAAGGCTCAGTAATGTGCTATCAGTGATGCTGTGCTATGCACAGTAGAATTTTGCATAAATGATGCCCGAGATGCTACAGTCAGTACTGCTTTCATTGTGATGTGGTGATGAGCAAGTCATTGAAAAGTACTCTGTGGTAAATATGCTAGGTTTGCATTTGAAAAGGTTTTAGTGGCCAAAGAGTTTATTTTATTTATTTTGTCGCTGAACGTTGGGTGAGTACAGTATATTGACATCACATCTAACAGCAGCCAAGGAGATTAGCCATAGTAAATACTGGAAACAGGGAAGCAGAATAGTTCTTATCCTAGCAAAACAGCATGATCACGAACATCACAAATTAACACAGTAAAACAACTTTTTCTTATTTTCATTTCAGTGACTTTTAAGACACAAGAAGCTTTGGAGAGGGTGAGGCTGTTTACTAGGAGTGCACTCGCACAATCGAGGGTACTCCTGTAGCCGGTCCCAAGCCTGAATAAGTGGAGAGGGTTGCGTCAGGAAGGGCATCCGGCATAAAATCTTTGCCAACTCAAACATGTGGATCATCAAGAAAGAGATTTCATTGGATGTTACCAGGATGGACAAGATTAGAAACAAGTACATCAGAGGGACACCTCAGGTTAGAGAGGCAATGCTGAGTTATTTGAGAGGAGGGATGGTGGCTAGCTCTCTTATTGTTAAGCCCAGCTTAGATCCTTACCAGATTACTACACAGATATTAGCAGCTGAAGCCAGACTAATACCTGCTTAAATTCTCCAACTTGTAGGAACTAGTTTGAATTCAGAGTTATATTCCATGAAAGATCTAAACATACATCCCTAAAAATTCTTTAAAATATCTTTAAGAACGTTCATATCATCTAAAATACTTCAGTTTTTAAAAATATTTTTAACATCTTCTGTTATTGTTCTCAGTCTTTAGGTTAATTAAACTCAACTGGTTCTGATGGTAACTTTTAATGTTAGTTTAGGGAGCAGTTTAAATTCATATTCACAGATGACAAAGAATTTGTGGCAAGACTTTTACTGATAATTTTATGTTGGGTTTTAAAACTTTATAAGTATAAAAAACAACAACAACAAACGAATTAATAAATAACTAAAGAAGCAAACTCACAGTCCATCGTTTCGGGAAGTCAGATCGCAGGGGTTGCATCTGGGGTCAGCTTTAGGTCACTCTGGGCATCCATTAGTGGCCTTATTTAGAGTCTTATTCCTTTAAGAGGAGTGATTGGCCAGCAAAGACAAAGAATCATTACCTTTGCCCGCCCCCTCCCTGCCAGCAGTCAATAATGAGGGATCATTAAAATGAATAGATGGACATTCCCCTTTTCTCCGGATCCTTATTGCAAAATCAGTGTCAGGGGAAATGAAGATTGAGCTTGGAGAAGGCGTCTAAAAGCCTCACAGTGATTGTCGTGAACTCATCTGCAGTGCCAGGCTCCTTTATCTACTGTAAGAGTCTGCACCTGCCTGAACTCCTGACTAGCAAGGGCTTTTACTGTAGCCCATTAAGAGCATCCCTAATGCGCGCTACAGCGTACTTCAACATAAACATTCTGCATATGTACCGAAACATTTACAGCAAACAAGACAAGAATGATTGCTTTGGATGTCTTGAGGCTTTTTTTTTTCTCGTCCACGAAGAAGACAGAGCTCTCAGAGTGAACTACAAATGTGATATTAAACACTTCGACTTTGATGCGGAGGATAAAGTGATCATGTGATGCGATCGTATAAACAGACACTTAAAGACAATTCTCACTTTTCACATGTCTTAAACTCAAGCATCTGTCCCG